GTTGATCTCACAAGCTAAAGTGTGAGACACTTGAATGAATACGTGGATGTTTTGTTATAGAATAAAACATTGGAGACCCGCTAGGAGATTGCACATTGATAACTATTTGAGTGTTAGTGGTTAATTTTTAACGTTCGATAGTGGAATTGGTCCTTTGACTTGAATTCATCATAATACCTTATATGAGGACAGTTATACTTTAATGGTGTTGGATGTTGCTCTGCCAAGGGTAGCTAATACAGTATCGTTCGGGTATGTCAAGAATCATATAAAAGTTGTGAATGATCGATAGAGGATTCGTCACTCTTAGATAGTAAGAGACTATGATCTACATTTTATTTAGTTAAGTTGAAAATGAAATCCTTGGTCAAGGTGAACTTATAAGTCGAAAAAGAGTTTTCGACTTACATTGACTTAACACTTAGATAAAAAATATGATCGATAATTGAGATTGACACATATTCATATCTCATAATTGATTGGATCATATTGACGAAATGATTATAATTCACGGTAAACGAAGAATTAGTAATAAATTAAAAGAATGTGAATTTGGGACGACGAATGTGAATTAGTGATAAATTAAAAGAGGTGTTTTAATTTATCGATTTTGATTAGATCAAAATAATAATTCACGTCGTTAGGTATCATGATCGGGAAACTAATGGGTCACACATAAAAGAGAACCAGAAGAATGAGATTTACCAATTAATTAATTGACAAGTGTTGAATAATTAATTAATGGGATTACTTATTAATAGGCCCGAATTAATTAAGAGAATTAACTAATTCTTGGACCAGATTTAATTAATGTGATAAATTCAATGTCGGACCGAATATAGTTTAGAGATGGGCCAAGCCCACTTGGGCTTATATCAATAGGTTCCTAGGATTTGTAAATTGTATGGAATTTTCATTATTCTTGCTAGTACAAGAAAAAAAAATCATAGCCGTCATTCTTGTTCTCTGCATGGATCACCATTGGGGGCTGGACAATTGGACAGCTTGGATTGCAGATCGTGATCATTGGAGTTCAAGAATCAGCAAAAGAGTTTGCAGAATTCATCAAAGGTATTATTCTCAACACAGTTTCTATCTAAACACAAAGCATATCCGTGGTGGGAATTGAAAAATTATTAATTTTTCGCTGTGCATATTAAGTAAAT